AGGACCTCGTAGGCTCTGGACCCGGTGATCTGGGCCAGCCTCAGAGCCCCCCCTGCTGCTGCCTGCAAGTCCTGACACTGCTGACCGCTGCTGGAGTCCATCCAGACCGGACTGTCCAACACCGAGAAGCTGTCCTGAGGACACAAGAGAACACCCGAGTCAGCGGGGACATGGACCATGGACCACACACCTTAATGCAGACACACCTCAAGCTGCTGGTGCAGGTTCTGATCCGAGTCGAGCCGGTCCAGGGTCTGAGATGCTCCTTTCCTCCAGAACACGCTGCCATGTTGCTGTGGACCAATAAAATATGATTCAGAAGCCAGGCCTGCTGGATCCGGTCTGTGGACCCCAGGTCTGCTGGACCTGGTCTGTGGACTTCAGGCCTGCTGGACCTGATCTGTGGACCCCAGGCCTGCTGGACCCGGTCTGTGGACCCCAGGCCTGCTGGACTTATTCTGTGGACCCCAGGTCTCCTGGACCTGGTCTGTGGACCCCAGGTCCTCTGGACCAGACTGGAGTTCTGCTGCAGCCAGAGTCGGCCTGTGGAACAAGCTTAAGTTCTCAGTCAGATCCAACCCGTCCTGGCTCTGAAACCACTCACCTGTCCGCTGCCTGACACCGCTCTGACCTGAGAGAAGTCAAGCCCCGCCCTCTTCATCTTGTCCAGCAGCAGGTCCAGGGCCTAATGATGGACAGATGGGACAGCCAATCAGAATCAGAACCGCTCACAGAGGTCAAAGGTCGGCCACAGAGTCAGGTGTCTTACCTTGACCCACATCAAAACCGGTGAGGTTACGGTCAGTCCATCAGCGTGGACGTGGACTCCTCCCTGGGTCCTGAACAGAACCAGAGACTTTCAGAATAAAGCCTGACTGAGAGCCTTTCAGAGTAAAGTGTCCTGGTTGGTACCTGAACTCTGGCAGCTCGGCGTCAAACTGAATGCCGTCCTGATGGACCGGGCTCAGGTGTCCATCCAGAACCACCACCTTCAGCTTCACAACAAACAAACAGTCACACACCTGGACCTGGTGGTCCGGTTCTATAAAGTTCTTCACAGACATGGTCTTTAATGAGTCAGAACCCTGAGAGTTTAGGAAGAACTGCTGAAACGTAAACAAAAATATCTATTTTATTTGTTTTTGATTATTCTGGTCCAAATGTAACTGGTTCTGGTTCTGAAGGTATCAAACAGGAAGTAAATGCACCTGTTTGATCCTCAGTAACCTTCCTTTTAAAACAAAAAAACTTTATTTATTACCGTTCACAATACAAAGTTCAAAACAAAACTGAACAACAAACTGTTAATAAACAGAATAAGGATATATATATATATGTGTGTATATATATATATATATATATACATATATATATATATATATATATATATGTATATATGTATATAGTATATTTTCTGTACATTGTTGAACGTAAAGTGCATCTTTTTTTTGTTAACATCACAGACTTTTATTCTTCAGAACAGACCAATGAAACAGAG